GTAGCGACACCAACGTAACTGAATGTGTCCTTCCTGGTTATTCTTCCTTTTTTTCACCGTTTTTGTTTGGATGCCACCGAGTTGCTGACAGATGGAAGCTCTTTTATTTCCCTCTTGCAGCTACAGGAAGGTACCAGGAGACAGCTGCAGCGGCGGAGATGTGGAGGCCCGGCTGGATGGAGAGATGCTGCCTTGTCCTGTCGGAGGTAATCTGCTTTCTCCAAACATTCAAAGATGCAGCTGAGCTGTGGAACAGTTCAAGGTGTCACGTTTCCAAACAAACGTTACCATCCAGTTTTACTGACTGGCAGACTTGGTAAGCTGTGGGGGTTTTGTGGGAGAAATCCAAATAAACATCCTTTATTTTAAGCATTTCTGCTTCTCCTACATAGAAATACATTACATATAAATGTAGCTGTGGGTTGTAGTTATTGAGTATGGGTCAGTAGTAGAGTCTCGATTATAGACCTGCTCTGACAGCAGCAGCCGGGCCGTTTCTAACTGGATGTATGACATCATGACGGCCGTGTTGAATGAATCAAAGAGATCATGTTTTCAAATTAATGAAGGAATTTACTCGACATGAAGCAGCCAATCGGTTTGTGTCAGTCGTCCTTTGCAGTGCAGCTCGGTGTGCACGTTTGTAGTCCCAGTGTTTGTCTTCAGGCTGTCTCCTGTGGTTTTGCAGAGAGTAATGAGTTCATCCTGTACGCTGTGAGGAACTCCATCCATCGCTACGACCTGGCCACGGGCACTGACCAGGCTCTGCCTCTGGCTGGCCTCAGGGAGGCTGTGGCTCTGGACTTTGATTATGACCGCAACTGCCTGTACTGGGCCGACATCTCCCTGGACACCATACAGGTCAGTGGCTCCTCTAGAAGATGCGGTCGGTGTGTGCTCTCTCACAGCAGAAGGACAGCGTGGTGCTGACTGTGGGGCTGAGACGTAGAGAGAGCTTAACGATTCAGCTGTTACTGACCTGCGTTCGTCTTTTGGTCCTGCAGCGCCTGTGTCTGAATGGCAGCACAGGTCAGGAGGTTGTCGTGAGGAAAGACCTGCAGAATGTGGAGGCTCTGACCTTTGACCCCATCAGTAGACTGCTATACTGGGTGGATGCTGGAGCGCAGAAGATTGAGGTATAGAAAACATCGTCAGTGTTTGTCACTCAGGATATCAGACACATCGGAGTCGCGAGGTTATCAAACTAAAACAGTTGTTCTTTCCCAGTTCTCCTCTCTGGTTGTCAGATTATATTCATATAATCACAATAATCTGTCTTCTTGACACGGCTTCATTACCGTTGACTTTTCCCCGTTATGTTTGAAGGTTTCAAACCCTGATGGGGATCTGCGGCACACCCTGCTCAACTCTTCCATCCTCGAACACCCGCGAGCTTTGGTTCTGCTGCCCGGAGAGAGGTGTGATTACAGCGTGTGATTAAAAGAGTGAATCTGAAACGAGCAGCTTCAGGCTGATTTGAAAAGCTGACATTTCCAGTCAAGAACAAGAAATTATAATAAATATATTGTTTGCTGATATTGCCTTTTTCAGGCAATCATGCAAAGCTGCAGCAAACACACACCTGCAGAGCAGGAGCGTAAAATCCACATCGGTCACCAGTGGTTCTGACTATTTTCTTAAACCTGATCTTAAGGTAAAAAGACAACAATGCTCTGATCACCCTTTAAAAAGGATGACCAGACAAACTGACCACAAGCTCATCTCTGGAAACAGATCTGGCTTCACTTCTGCAAACATAGTTCTGCTTTTCCTGAGCAGCAGACATCGGGATTCCTGTGGTCTGCTGCTGACCTTCTTAGAAAATGAATGGTTGACTCACTGCACTCACTTCCTCCCTTCTCTGTGTACATTGTCACTCTCAGAGTTTAAGCTTGTATTAAATATTTGACCTGGCGCCCAATCACAGTCAAAGAGTGGCCAATGGGCACATTCGGTGCAAATTCCTAATCTTTTGAATTGAATTGAAATTTTTATTTCAGTCAACAACAACAGATTATAATTTTACATAAAAGTACTCAAACAGTAACCGAAAAAGGAATAGGCTGAAGCCTTATGGCTTATACTTATCCTCTCCCTTACCCCCATAGAAATAATCAAATCCTTAACCACGAAAATAAATAGCATTGATAAATAAGTTGTATAACAGTTTGAAAAGAAATCAATGATAAATCAAGAAATTAAATCAACACAAAAAAA